ATCGTTGAGAGAGAACATCGATTGGCCGCCTCCTGCATGCCCCCCACTGGGGATCAGGCCCACAACCTGGGCATGTGCCCTGACCAGGAATCGAACCGGTGACCTTTTGGTGCATGGGTCGATGCTCAACCACCGAGCCACACCAGTGGGGCACTGATTACAATCTTTTACCATGTTCTTTACTTCTCCTTCATGGCACATAGCACTTTGTAAAGTGATATATTATGTTCATGAGCTTATTTGTTTACTAGAAAGTAGGGGCCACACCTATTTGTTTGCAGCTGTTATTGGTAATGCTCAGTGCAATGCCTGGCATGGAAATAGCACCTAATATATTTATTGGCTGATGAATAAAGGCAGATGTAATTTTCTGAATACGTTATTGGGGCAAACCAATATATATCTGTATGGGATGATTCTTAAGTCATCTCAAGTAGTTCCCCTTTAGTTTTTAAAATTTTATTGGAGTGACACTCGTTGATAAAATGATACAGGTTTTAGGTGTATAATTCTATAGTACATCATCTGTATATTGTGTCCACCGCCCAGTCTCCTTCCCTCGCCATTTACCCCCCTTTACCCTCTTCTTCCTGCCTCCACCCCCCTTTCCTCTGGTGATCACCGTACTGTTGTCTGTGTCTATGAGCTTTTTTTTTTTTTTCTTAATCTCTTCACCTTTTTCACCCAGCCCACCAACTCCCCTCACCTCTGACACTCTTCAGTTCTTGACATGCATTCTTAAACTCGTATACTGCTCTGGCTGGGGTGGCTAAGTTGGTGGAGCATTGTCCCATGCCCCGAAAGGTTGCTGGTTTGATTCCCAGTCAGGGCACATACCCAGGTTGCGGGTTCAATCCCCAGTCAAGGTGCATATGGGAGGCAACTGATGTTTCTCTCACACTGATGTTTCTGTCTCTTCCTCTACCTTCCTCTCTCTCTAAAAAAAAAATCAATAAAAACATATTAAAAAAACAAACTCATATACCTAATCCCAACCCACTATTTATAGCTTCATAGTCATCCAACAAAGTAAAAAAAGAAAAAAAAACTTGGCAAAAAAGGGTGCCGGGGTGAGGGAGAGTGACATTCGAACACATCACTTACATTTTTGTTGACATCCCCTCTCTCACTTTCTCAGATTATATGCGGCAATGGAGAGGGCTATCACAGCACCTCTGGCAAATTCCAGGTCACAGGTAAATTGGGAAAACATGGGCCAATAAAATAAGATCTCAGCTTCCCCTAAGCTACTTCTCTATTCTTAATCTCTCTTTCCCCCTTCTCTTAAGGTTAGCTACTTTTACACAGAGAGGGATCATCAAGACTGTAGGTACATGATTTTACCAGTATCCTGTGAAGAACCATCGGGGATGCCCTCTGTCATTCCAACCATTGGTTTAATATCACAGATGTTAATGGTAACTTGTCTGCACCCTAATGTTTAGGGTGCAGACAAGTTACCATTCCAGCCTAGTCAGTGACATGTCCCACACTCTCTTGGAAGGCTGGGTCAAAGAGACCAAGCTTTGCACAAGAAACTTGAGAATTGAGTTGGAAAAAGCAGACTGACTTGGCTTAAGGCTCCACATACATGGAGGGATGGATCCCCTTTTCCATGCAGATGGCAACAAGACAGGACACTTAGCACCTCAAGGTACTGTTCTCGTTTTCACCTTTCATTCACCCTCCCCACCACTGCTCCAAAAGAACAGAGCTTTGGTATTGCTTCATTAAAAACACAGTAACTGCCCGGCTGGTGTGGCTCAGTGGTTGAGCACTGACCCATGCACCAAGAGGTCACTGGTTCGATTCCCGGTCAGGGCACATGCCCAGGTTGTGGGCCCGATCTCCAGTGGGAGGCATGCAGGAGGCGGCCGATTGATGTTCTCTCTCTCAAAAATCAATAAAGAAAAAAAACACCACCACAGTAAGTGCAGTTTAAGAGCCATTGCATTCTTTAGGGTCAGTTTATTATATCTCATCATACCACAAAGAATCACAGTTTAAGGCCATTTTTCATGTGTACTTATGCAGTAAACAAGACCATGCCCACAGCTCCCCAACCAAGAACTCCAAAAGGTGGACTGGGAATGATAACCTGCAGGCTCACCACAGAAGATGGGATTAAACATTTTCAGTAGGGGCTCCAGCTAATCCCTTTGGTTTCCTCCCTAGAAAAGACTCACTCCATAGCCGAAGATGCTTGGAATACAGGTCACTGGAAACAACAAAAGGGGCAGCAACATTTTCTGTACAATTAAAAGCAAATGGATCATTGGCTAGTCCTAGCATTTCTTCAGTATAAGGCAGGAAGCCAGCCTTCTAATTCGGCTATCTGGGCACATGGCAATTGGCTGGGAGCCTGGACACTACATTTCATGAGGATAAAGCTGAGAACGGACATACTTTCCTCCACGTAGAAGGGATTTTGATTAACTGGCTTAATGGATTAAGATGCCTGCTGGGCACTGAGCTTCCATGATAAACAGGTAGCAGCACATCTATGGGTTCTGGGTCTGCATTTAAGCAGACAGCTGCTCAACACCAAAGAAGAATCTTTTGACCTATAACCCTTCACAATCCCTTTGGGCTTCGCTGATTTTACCTGTGAAATGCTCCAGTTCTTGATTTTCATGCAGGTACACAGAAGGAAAACCACTACTCTCCCCACTGCCTGAACACAGCTTTGGTGATAGCAAGTAGAAATGAAAACCCATTTCAGTTTGCCTGGAACATCAGGAAAGACACCATGGGAATTAGGACACAGCAGTACTTTGCACAAGAGAACCAGATGACAGGTCTGCCACATCCCTACAAAGACTCACAAAACGAGAATCACCCACCTTCTCTCCCTTGCCTGTGGAATTCTAAAAATCAGGAATTGGGAGGTACAGAAAGGAAGAAAGGCCAAGTACAGAAGGGAGGAATATGGAGACCAATCATGGGAAGGAGATTCAATCCCTTGGTCTCAGTAGTTGTGCAGGGCACTTGTTCACCTCTGTGACTACGTGAGGAAGTGTGTTTTGACCATCTGAATTCCTCACCCTGGCACCAAAGTTTAAGATAGAGACTGAAGGACTAAGATGCCACGTTCTTCAAACAAGCACACAGTTCTGGAGACTAGAATGTGATCTACAGAAATTTTCCAAAGCAAAGCAAAAAGTTCAAAAAGTGCTCCAAAGCCCCTGACCACTTTCAATTTCCTTGCTTCAGAATGTAGTCATATTCCAGGGCAAAGGGGGAGGACAGTCTGCTACCCGCTCCATTGTGTGTGTGACTTTGATGTCCCCTCATTATAGATTTCCTGTGGGAAAAGCTCTTATAAACTGGAAATGGATCTAGGCAATGCTAAACAGAGGGATGGAGAACGTGGCAAGGACTAGTCACACCTGTATGGACTCACTCTGATGATCAGCTTTGGCAGTCATGGTTACCTGATGCCTGTTTGAATCCCATCAGATTCTCTACTCAGGCTGTTAAACCATGTACTTAACAATACTTACATGTCCCAGATTTCTATTCTCTCCCAATGACTATTTATATACACTCGTATTTCCCCAAGTGCTTGGTTAAATGATGATACTTATATGACTGGACCCTAGATTTATATTAGTTTCAAGAAGAGACAACCAGTATGTATAATATTTTATACTCTAGAAAGGAGAGGCCCTGGAAAGATCACAGGACTTGTCTCTTTGAAATAAACTTGTAATTTAACTACATTTATCCTGAAATAACTTTGCTCCAGCCAAGTGATATATAATTTTTAAAATGTCCATACTAACTGATATTTTATATTGCAGTGACTTCATGCAAGCCAAAATAAAGACTGGCAGGTAAATTCATTGCTTAAAGTTTGTGACTTTTGCAAACCCTACCCCATGACTTGGTGACTGCAATGCAAAAGCCATCAGGTATTCTAGTGGGGTTCCAGCGTGAGGAACTAGATGTGCAAGAAAGGTTAGCAATGCAGTTTATTTTACAGGACTAGTTACATGGTTACCACATTTCTTTCTTACTGCAACTTGGACATGCTAAGTATAGTCCCTGCGTGGTTCTTTTATTCACCCCCTGCTGTTCTTCAAAAAAGTAAAATGAAACCTTGGAATATTTCAAGGGCTTAAGGCTCTCAGATGCTGAGAGTGACCAAAGATAGCTTGAGACATGAAAATAAAACTTCACAAACAGTAACATTGCTTATACCCTCCGCTACATGTATCAATACAAACATACCACAGCTGACGATAAGATGCCCAAGAGAATCTGGACTGAGAATTCTTACCAATAAAAGGAGTGGTTTCAAAAATTAGAGATGTGCAAAAATACTTCCACAGAATTCTTTTCCATTCAGTTCCCAGTCTTTCCCTGTAATACCTGATGGCTACTCAAAGACGAGCTGATCTTGGATATAATAGAGCCAAAAGTTCTTTTCACTTAAACTTTGGTTAAGAGAAGAAAAAAAAAAAGAGAACTTTAACATGGTGATTTGCAGATCTGTTCTTTGGTCAAGCAGTACAAAGCTCTCTGAAAGAAGTCCTCTCACCTGGTATGAAAACAGTTAAAACAGAGGGTCCCAGTTTGGGAAAGATATGTGTTCAGAATTTCTAAAAAAAGAAGGGAATGGAAGGCAAGGGGGACCCTGAACCCCCAGTGTCAGGCTGAAACTGTCTTAGGACATCAAGAATGAAGAGAACCAGCACTCAGAAAATGATATTTCAATGGGCCACTTCTAGAAAGGGTACTTCATGACTTTAACCCTTGAACAGGAACATGACAAACGATTTCTGAGGAGAGGATTTACCCTTATTTCCCATCACCAGTTTAAACTCTAATCTGGACCCAGACCCAGGCAGGGGCCCTCGCCGCTTGGAAAAGCAGACAGCGGTGGGCAGCAAACCACAGGCGTCTGCAGGCAGCACCCAGCTCCCTCCCGGCCGCCCGCCCGCCCCGGACACCCTGCCGGAGCCGCTCTGTACCAGGACAGTGCCCAGTGAGTCAGCTTCACCAGGGAGGTCTGATCAGGCTGGGATGTGGGACCTTTGAAACAATGTAAGTGTTCCAAATAGATGTGGGGTTAGCTTAGAGCTTGGGAAGGACCCAGAAATTGGACATAACCTCAGACAGTGAGCATCGTGAAGAAGTATTTGGTGGTGAACGAAGACACCCTTGTTCTATTCCAGTAAATGGAACGAGACCAAGCCTTGGGAGGCTCTAGACCAGGGAGAGTTACACAGCGAGGGGGGATTTCAAGAGTGTTAGTGTTTACTGGTTTTTTAAAAAGGCTAAACTTAAGACTAAAAGCAGAACCCTTTGGTTGGTTACTTGACTGGCTAGAGAAGGGCTCCAAGGCCGGCAGCCTCGGGGCCCGGAGGGACGTCAGCGGAAGGCACTCGCTCTCAGGGAGGGCAGGTGCGTCGCGGCTGGGCTGCCGGGGCCAGAAGCTGCAGATGGGCCCAAGTCTGCGAGGTGCCTGAGTGGTCAGCAGAGACAGGCTAGGGTCAGCGTGATTTCACAAGTAGAATAGTTATAAAATAAAACATTTTTAATGGACAAAATAGCAAAGTGAGTCACCTTTTTTAAAAGGTGAAATGTAGCAAAGGAAGACGTGAAGCAGTTTTTCACTATTTACAAAATGCCACTTAGAGTGGAGGTGGCCACCGTCAGGAGCTGAGAAAATGTCTTTCACATGAGACGGCCACAGAAGTGTGGTTCCTGGACCTGGCTCAGAAGGCCACACACTGTCCTGGGTGAGGAAGAGATTCTTTAAGGGAGCACTAAAAAGGCTCAGTCTTCTGTTTCTTCATACGTAGTCTCATCAAAGGGCCTGTCCAGCAGAGGTACCAACCGATGACGGGAATACTTCAGCTGCAACAGGTCCCCGACTTCATCTATCTCCTTTAAAGCCTGAAACACATAAGACAGGGCAGAGGGGAGTCAGAGCTAGTGGGCTGCAGGCACACCTGGCGCTGCCCTCCCATCCCTGGTGGAGCAGAGACACGGCCGGACCACAGCGCAGCTGTGCAAAGAGCTGCGTGGTGAGCACGGACGCGAGGCTGGCCATGCACAGCGGGTGCAGGATAAAGGGTGTGATCCGTCTGAGTATGCTGTGCTTGGTAGGAAAGGGATTATGCATCCTGGACCTGCCAGGCTGGTCACGATTTGTCTTCTCCCCTTTTATACTTCAGTGCTTGCTCTCTCCCGTGTCACGTTACAGAAAACTGATGAGGAATCTGCGCTGAGATGCTTCCCAGATGCAAGACAGAGAGAGTCCCCGAAGTGGACTCCTGCACCGACTCAGTGAGAAAGTGGGAACCTTGAGGAGAGGACTGGGTAACGGACAGGCTGCGGGTGAGGGAGGGGCAGGGAAGCGCAGAGCTGGGATCTGAACTCCAAAACCCAGTTGAGAGAGTCTCTGTCCCATCTTCCCATCAAAACTGTACCCGTCTCAGTAAAACTTGCTTTACTGTAAACTTAGCCCTTTCTTTTTCTTTTTCTTTTCTTTTCTTTTTTTATCCTCACCTGAGAACATTTTTCCATTTTTTGTTCAGGCAGAGTGGGAGGGAGAGAGAGGAAGAGAGAGACAGAGAGAGAAACATCGACGTGAAAGGGACACATCGAGTGGCTGCCACCCGTACAACCCAACCAGGGCCAGGGACAAACTGCAACCGAGGTACGTGCCCTTAGCGGGAACCGAACCCAGGTCTCTCTGGACCGCAGGTCGACGCTCTAACCGCTGAGCCAAACTGGCCAGGGCTAGCCCTTTATTTTTCAAAGAAAGCATGTATCTTATAAAATATTCAAACAGTAAGGCAAGTTATGAAATGAAAAGTCTCTTTCTCATTGCAACAGTAGCCCTACCTTGTAGAGCAATCCACATATAGTTTCTTATATGTATTAAGAAAAAAAGTTCTTGCCCGGCCAGTATGGCTCAGTGGTTGAGCATCGACCCATGCACCAAGAGGTCACCAGTTCAATTCCCAGTTAGGGCACATGCCCAGGTTGTGGGCCCGATCCCCAGTGCGGGGCGTGCAGGAGGTGGTCAGTCGGTGCTCTCTCTCATCAATGTTTCTCTCTCTCTCCCTTCCTCTCTCTCTAAAATCAATTTAAAAAAATTTTTTTTAAGTTCTTAAAGTATAACATACATACAGCAAAGTATGAATCATAGTTCACAGAGTTAACCTTTCCAAATAGTAGCACACAGAGAGTTGAAATAGAGGATTCCAATATAAGAAAGAAAATATGTGTTCAGAATTTCCCAGAAAAAATCCACTGCAAGGCTAGGGGAACTCTAAGCCCCAGATATCTCTCAGAGGAATTTAAGGAAGAGAGCAAAAATGTTCAAATCTTAGATTCTAAGGCTTTCTAATAAAAGCTCCAGGAATAATGAAAGAATGCAGTTTTTTTTTCCCCTTTATTGATTTTAGAGAGAGAGGAGGGAGAAGGGGGAGAGAGAGAAACATTGATGAGAGAGAACATTAATTGGTCGCCTCCTGCATGCCCCCCACTAGGGGTCAGGTCCACAACCTGGGCATGTGCCCTGACCAGGAATTGAACTGGTGACCTCTCAGTCCATGGGTTGACGCTCAACCACTGAGCCACACCGGCCGGGCAAGAATGCAGTTTTTAATTCACAAAAACTTTCCAGCCCTGTTATGCTCCCCAAGCACCTGTGGATGTTACCTAGTGGGTCTAATAACAAACCTGGGGTGAATGAGCGTTGGCTTTGGAGACAATGTCTGTCTATGACACCAGTTCATTAGACTAAGAAACAGTAAAGTGGGCAGCAGAAGCCCCGTAACTCTCCACATTTCCATCAAAGCATCTAAATCTTTTGTCCACTCTTATGGGTATAATTCCATATAAAAATGTATACCTTCTATTTCAGAAAGGGAATCAGGTCATTATTAGTAAAAAGACACATTTACCTGTTCTTAAGTTTAACTTTTAAAAATCAGTGTTTGGAGAGAGAAAAAAACTATGATTAGTATTCCTTATTTATTCCAGCATAAGATAAAACTTTTTCTTCCCCCTAATCCTCACCCGAGAATATTTTTCCATTGATTTTCAGATAGACTGGGAGGGAGGGGGAGCAAGAAGGGTGAGAGAGAGAGGGAGGGGGAGAGGGAGGGAGAGAGAGAGAGGGAGGGAGGGAGGGAGAGGGAGGGAGAGGGAGGGAAGGAGGAAGGGAGAGGGAGGGGGGGAGGGAGAGAGGGAGAGAGAGAGAGAGAGAGAGAGAGAGAGAAACATCGATGTGAGAGAGACACACATCGAATGGCTGCCTCCTGCACGATTTCCAGAGCCGGGGATCAAACTGCAACTGAAGTACGTGCCCTTGACCACTGGAATCGAACCTGAGACTCTTTGGTCCACAGGCTGATGCTCTAACTGCAGAGCCCAACTGGCCAGGGTAAAACATTCTTCACTCCAAATGTGAAAAGTATAAAAAGCAAATAAGAGCTGGATTTTAATATCCCATCAGAACAGTGGTACCTTTGAGATCTAACTGAAGGCTCCATATGGAAACAATTTGAGGTTGAATTTCAGCTGGGAGAACCCATTAGCCATTTATGCTCCTGACCTCTGATACAGGATTTGTTAATTTAAAACAACATATGAGTTACTAAGATCACAGAATAAAGGGCATTTATGAACTCTGACTTCAGAAGAACTTAATATTTTTTCATCAGTGTAAAAAAGAAAATGAACCCATGGTAGCCCCAAGGAATCTAGATAACAAAACTTCCTCTGATCCCACACCAAATACTTCAGATGAGTAAATTTTATTTACATAAAAGGTAATATTGTAACTAGAAACTGCTGGCCATTATGTGGGGTTACCTGGTCAGATCAGACATAAGGAACCATTACAAGGACCACCATTTGTTAACAGTCTACACCAAACCACTGGATCACAGGATAAGATGGGTTCTTAGTTTAAAAAAGTGTTAATTATACGGTTGGGTATGGTCCTTTAACAAGAGAGTATTTTAGGATAGCTGGGCCCCTGAGCCAATAGCCCCATCCTTTTATTTTTAAAAATAACTTTTATGAAATACAATTCACATGCCACAAAATTCACCTTTTAAAAGTGTACAAGTCAAGGCTTTTTTTTTTCTTTTTCCTTTATTGATTTTAAAGAGAGAGGAAGAGAATGGGAGAGAGAGACAGAAATATTGATGAGAGAGAACACTGATTGGCTGCCTCCTGCACGCCCCTCACTGGGGAATCGGGCCCACAACCTGGTCATGTGCCCTGACCAGGAATCAAATCGGGGACCTCTTGGTACATGGGTCAACACTCAACCACTGAGCCACACTGGCCGGGCAAGTCAAAGCTTCTTAGTATATTCAGAGTTGTACGACTTTCATCACTATCTAATTTTAAAGCATATCACCTCAAAAAAGAAACCATACTCCTGTCAATCAATTCTCATTCTTCCCTCCCCTAAAGCCCTGATAACCACCAACCTCTTTTTTAAGAGTAATTAAAAAAAAATCCTTATCCAAAGATATGTTTATTGATTTTAGAGAGGAAGAGAGGGAAACAGAGAGGAGGAGGGGTGGGGACTTGGGAATGGGGGAGGGAGGGGGAGAGAGAGAAATAACAATGGATTGCCTTGTATACTCAACCCAACTGGGGATTGAACCGAAACCTAGGAATGTGTCCAGACCAGGAATCAAATCTGCAACCTTTTTTTTGGTGTATGGGAGGATGCTCCAACCAACTGAGTCACCTGGCCAGGGGCACCAATCTATTTTCGGACCCTAGGAATTTGCCTATTCTGGACTTTGTGCTAATGTGGTATTTTGTGTCTGGCTCCTTTCACTTAGCACAAAGTTTACCCATGTTGTAGGGGTCCAACTTCATCCTTTTGCATGTAGTTATCCAGTCGCCCAGCATCATCTGTTGAACAGACTAGTCTTTCCCCATTGACTAACTTTGGTTCCCTTGCTGAAAACCAACTGGCCAGATGTTTGAGTTTATTTCTGGGCTCTCAATGATATTCCATTGGTCTACATATATATCCTTATGCTAGAACTCCAACTATTTTTAATTACTGTAGCTTTGTAGTAAGTTTTGAAATCAGGAAGTTTGAGTCCTCCAACTTCAATTTTATTTTTTAATACTGTTTTGGCTATCTGGGGACCCTACAGTTGATTATGAATTTGAGGCTCAGCTTTTCCATTTTGGCCAAAAAGGCCATTGGGATTTTGATACGGATTGCATTGGATCTGTGGATCTTGCTGTACTGCCATCTTAACAATATTAAATCTTCCAACCCACGAACACAGAGTGTCTTCCCATTTACTGAAGTCTTCTTTTAGCAATGTTTGAATGCTATCATAAATACATTTTCTTAATTTCACTTGTTCAATGCTGGTATACAGAAATATACTTTTTTTTTTCTATCCTCAACCGAGGACATTTTTTCCATCCTTTGTTCAGATAGAGCGGGAGGGAGAGAGAGGGAGAGAGAGAGAAACATTGACGTGAAGGGACACATCGAGTGGCTGCCACCCGCACAACCAACCAGGGCTGGGGACAAACTGCAACTGAGGTACGTGTCCTTAGTGGGAACTGAACCCGGGTCTCTCTGTACCGCAGGCCGACACTCTAACCGCTGAGCCAAACCGGCCAGGGCTACTTTTTTTTTTTGTTAACTCTCATCTGAGGATATTTTTTCCATTGGTTTTTAGAGAGAGTGGAATGGAGGGAGGGAGAGAGAGGGAGCAGAGAGGGGTGAGAGACACACACACAGAAAGAAACATTGATGTGAGAGGCACATCCATTGGTTGCCTCCTGCCCAACTGGATTGAACCTGCAACCCAGGCACACGTCCTTGACTAGTGGTTGAACCCTTGACATTTTAGCACATAGGCTGGACACTCCAACCACTGAGTCAC